GGCCTTTAAGGTGTCGCGGATAAATACAACAAAATAAAACTAGTACCGGTACCGAAAAAAAGAAAATTTATTCATAACACACGTGAAAAGACCAAGGAAAACCGAGTAAACGATAAAAACGATAACAAAATAACGCTGAAAACCGATAAAAACCCTGAAGGCCATACATTTCACACCTAAGCCTCAAGTCTCGCGGCCCGGCACCAAACGACTCACGGACCGGTACCGGTCCGAGGCCCGGGGGTTGGGGATCGCTGGTGTAGACCAAAATACTCAATTTTGCTCTACATAGGGCCTGATATCCACTTACAAGGACATTATACTGCCACTGTTCTATCAAAATTTAAAATGAATATCCTCTTATGTGGACCTCATTTTTCTCAGAAACAAAAATCAGGTGAAAAAAAAGGTGATTCGTTGTTTTTACATTCATCAGGTCCCAATCAGCCCAAATAGCAAAGTTAAATTAAAAAAAGCACATTTGGGGTGGGGTGAGGGTGGGGTGGGGGGGGGCTCTGTTTTCATCTGCATTCATGGTCATCATGTTCATTTACAACATATATTCATATATGTTTACAGCTGAACTGTTGTGGTCCAAATGGGAGGTTAAAGGAAACAAACCCAGAAATTTGTCCAAAGGGAGAGCTGCTGGCGGAGCTCATTACTAAGGTATGACTATCCTGTGTGTGTGTGTGTGTGTGTGGATAGAAATGGAGAATGGAGAAATCAAGAGGCATGCTGGCATGCTTCATCTCTCTGAGATCTGTGGCAATTACCGTAAATCAAATTCATAATCATGGTCCAATGTGTGTCATAAGTCTGTCAGTCTTCCCTTTGCAGAGCAATCCCCCAGTCTCTTTGCAGTGTTACTATAGCAACGGTGGTTTACAAGAGCCCACATGCCCTCAGCCTGTCTTTTATGTGTACCATCCCACAAGTCATGTTCAGAAAGCTCAAAGAAATCATTACTATCTTTTGCAGAGCTGCCCTGATGCCATTGAAGAGGTGTTTAACTCCAAATTGCACATCATAGGAGGAGTAGGCATTGCCATCGGGGTCATTATGGTGAGTGCGTGATTGGTTTAACTCTTAATGCTATTGTGCTGAATGAGGACAGTCCAGAAATGAGCTCAAAACTTGTAACACTCTTTCTTACAGGTGTTTGGGATGATCTTTAGCATGCTCCTGTGCTGCGCCATCAGGAGGTCCAGGGAGGTGGTGTGACACCCTCTCGAAGTCCTCATTAATGTTGCATGATGTCATTCCTAGAGTCCCACGACTCTCCACTGCCAGTAGAAACACTGCTCGTTAAAGGGGGGGGGGGATAAACTAAGCTTAGGCTGGGTGCACATATTTCTGATTGCATTATACGTCAGCCTTATCTGTGCTGCTGATGCTTAGGCCCACTTTCCTGGACTAGATAGCTGTTATGTGGTTATAAGGCCCAATTTTAAAATGGGTGTCATCTGTTATTCAGTGGCATTGTAGTAAAAAGAAATGTGTACTTTTGTGGTGATTTGATGGAAATTAGTGTGTGAACAGCTAATTATCTAAACAAAACATGATACTATTGTATACTGATAGCATTTCTATTGCTGTCACTTGGGGTCATCTACTAGCAAGAACATGGTCCAGATATAAAAAAACAAACACAAAAAAGCAAACACTTCTGCACAACACAGCAGCAGCAGTTTTACAGTTCCTTTTTTCATGCAACTTCTTAAGTAAAATTAAGGTGACGAGTAGCCAGCTGAATACCGAGCTGTTAACTTTAACCAGCTCGGTGCTAGAGTAGCATCTTGATTCCTTTATTTTCATGACATTTGATTTGTTCCTGGTCCTTATCCTGATTTGTGTTTGTAAATGTTTTCCTTTTTGTATTTGTAAGATTTCTAATGTTAGCTGTTTATATTTTTACGTGCAGTTTGACGATGCATTTTGCAGTGTTCTCTTCAGTTTACAGAGATTGATTTATATCATATGCACTGTTTCACAGAGACAAAATTTAACAATAAGCGCCAAATAAACTAAAATGTACTGAGTCGACTATGAGTTTACTGTAACAATCATAAGGTTCATTTATAGAGAAAATATAAACAATTCAGTATAGGAAAATAAAACTTGCCATCAAGGAAAAATTTAAGCATTTAAATAGAGAAATAAAAGTGGACCATAAAATAATATGACCTGCAATTATTCCCATACACTGTAATAGTAAACAAGTTGGAGAACATTTAACTGCACCTGTTCTTAGGTCACTTGGTAACATTCATAACTACAATGAAAATATAAGAGTCACGCTGATTCACTGTTAGACTGAGCCTTATTTACATTTTAGATTTAGCCGCTCACGATACAGCATGCTGCAAGAGTTAGACGTGCGTAGGTGTCTCCATAGGACTGACAACAATGACAGCTACACTCAAGCTTGTTTCCTTTTTCGCAGTAGGAAAAAGGAAAAAAAAAACATTGGGAAAACTCCCTCGGCTTCCCCTTCTTTGATATTGGCAGCTATCAGCTGACTGACTCCCTTAGAACACAAACAAAGACAAGAAGTGTCTTTGTTTCTTAATTGTGCTTTTACAAATATTTTATGGAAAATTTTTGTCTTCAAAACTAATGACACGGTAGTTACGGTAAACAGTATGACTAGTTAATGTCTTTATGACTCACAGTTTCCATCTAAAAAGCGGCGAGTATAGAAGTAAATAGAGTTTGTGTTCCCCTGATTACAGCACAAGGAAGCATGCTATGATTTGGTTGTTGACAGCCGGGTGTTGCCCTTCTAAATGCCTCAATCGTTTTTTCGAGATAACACTGATTATAAAAAAGGACTGTGTATTTTTGTGAGGTGATGTGTATTTAAACCGTTTGTGTAAGGGACAAACTAGCAAGGGAATAGGCCAGGAAAATAGAAAAGGAGGAGAAATTTTAGAGAAAATCTATGAATATGAAAAATACTGAGAAAAAAAAAGGCATTAACAAATTCTCGCTTGGAAGGTTTGCAACACATAAAAATATTTAGCAACTGCACATTCTGTATTACAACAGTGTTTAATGCCTTCTTTTTTACTGCCAGACCTTGCCTTGATTCAGGACAGGATGCTATAGACCACTTTAACATTTTACTGCCACAGAAACTGCAACCAACCACAACATGGTCATAAGACTGAAAATACCATCTGTGTCTTGCAATAAAAATATATTTCGTTGGAACAAAATATACACAGTGGCAAGGTGATTAGCACTGGTTGCCTCACAAAAAGATGTTCCTGAGTTTCCACCACCTGGTCGGGGCCTTTCTGTGTGGATTTTGCATGTTCTCCTTGTGTTTGCAGGGGTTCTCTCCAGGTTCTCCGGCTTCCTCCCACAGTCATGCAGTCAAGACATGCAGTTAGTGGGGTTAGGTTAATTGATCATTCTTAACTGTCCATAGGTTTGAATGTAAGTGTGAATGGTTGTCTGTCTCTATGTTTTAGCCCTAAAACAGACTGGTGACCTGTTCAGGTCCCTGCCTCTTGCTCTATGGTAGCTGGGACAGGCTCCAGTTCCCCCATGACCCTGACAAGGATAAGTGGAAGAGAATGGACAGATAGCTGGATATATCTTGTGGGTATAGAAAAATCACTGTGCCAAAAATTATTTACTCCATCTTCGACATGAGGGAGCACTGAGAGAAAATATGTTCACGGCTTTTATCTTAACTAAGACACAATCTCAGCCCTCGCCTTCGTCCTCTGTATCCTCCCAGGAAGTCCTGGCGAGTCTACGCGACTGTGTGTGTAAAGCCGTGTGTGTAGGCAGGACAGCGTCCACCTTAAGGAGACTTGCGACACACTGCAATACAGCAAGAAGTAGCTGGTATTTACAGGAGACAGATTCAAGGCCCAGATCCAACTCTGAAACTTTTGACAATTTGTCACCCTCTCTACAACAATGCAAGCTTAGTTTACCATCCCCCAGAGGCCCTTCGACCTGTATAGGGCTTATAGTATTTTCTCGTTTATATACAAGGCTAAAAGGGTGGGAATCATTTGGAAACTTACTAACAAAACTTATAACCCGTCTTTGAGACTCCAGGAAATGGTGCGGACTGTGAGAGTAAATCTTTTGAGGCACGCTCAGTAGGGCATTTGCCAAGAGCTGGGAAACAGAAGCATCTATATTTAGGTCAGGAGAAACTGAGCAACTATGTCCATGTTGTAGAAGGGCATAGTGTAAGAGAAGCTCAAATAAACCACCAGCAGATAAAACACAGCCTGGCTTTTGAATGGGCTGTATAGCGATGGATCTGTATGGGGTTTGCTCGGTCAGACTGTCTGTATGTAAAGATGCGCCTTTATGCGACTGCAGGGTACTCTTTGATGTTGTGGTTGCAGCTGCAAGCATGGGCTCCCAAGTTCTAAGTAGCATGCGAATGGCATCTTGTAAAGCACATGCATACTGCTCAATCTGTCCTTCCCCTGGGGCACAGATGATCAGACTGCAGGGTTTGATGGTGATTCTATCTTCCGAGTCCTGGAAAGCCACATGGACATACCTGTGGAAGAGACAAAACCCATACAGTAAACTAAACAAAACAGCATTAACTCGTGTGTTGGAGATTACAGACAATGCTAAACTTCCTGTTGCTATCTATAACATTATACGTGCACACTACATTACTCAAGACGAAGTGTGTTTTTTATACCTGTGGGCTCCGAGCTGTATCGGCCGGCAAAAAGCCAGTGTGGCTACGTGCTCTGATTCAATCATCGAACAGTCCCAGATTGGGGTAGTTCCACTTAGCTGGGAAAACAGAGAGAGTTCATCTTCACTGACACACTCCACAAGGCACATCTCTGCCTGTGTGGCTAAAGCCAGGACAGCAGCAGACTGTTTTACTGCAGACAGAAGCACACAAACACCCAAAGTCTGCAGCTTCGCAATAACACCCTGCAGTGAGCTTTCCATCCAGGAGCTAAAGTGTAAAATACTTCTCTCCTCCTTCATTCGGCCTCTATATCCCAACTCAAGCACGTCTCCTGTGCTGAGCAATGTTGGTTGCAGCGACCCGGTGAGAACTACAGCCTTAACTGGCTGGTGGTCAGTCTTAAGCGGTGGCGTGGCAAAGTCCCTGTGGATTACCTGCCCCTCGATTAAACGTGAAGAGCGGACAGGAAAGCCCGACACAGGTGTATGGAGGGCCGGGAAGTAGTCGCTTACGAGCTGCAGAGAGAATGAAGGTAGTTGATTTTTAAAATTCCAGTGACTGAGCAGCTCACATGTGAGGTGACTACTGAAGTCACAGTGCGTGTAACCACAGCGTGTGTGAAAAAATGATCTTAGCAGCTTTTGAACACAGAGATTGTTTGTGAGAGATGACGTTTGTGCTTCCACAGTGAAATCTTCCCACGAAATGCAGCCTCCATAAGGGACCACTCCCGTAGCAATGAGCTCATCCAACTCCTTCAACCCAAATGCTAGCAGTTTGTCAGCCAAGTGTCTGGCAGTGGCAGCCTCTGCTGCTTTTGTTGAGCTATAAGAGTGAGACACATTAGACCCCTTGCTGGCTGCTGCATGAATCAACCGTAGCAATGATGCCAGCAGCAGGATAAAGGTTTTGGATCCATCGCCTGTTGCAGAGCTATGCTTCCAGACACACTCCACCACCATCCTAAAATGAGGAACACACAAACACATCACCAAGGAGTTAAACCTAGAAAAATGTGTATAATCATTCAAGTAAATGTCTGACTGTTAACCTGGCGAACGGATGCTCCAGATGTAGTGCCGTGAGAATGCGTGTCCCACTGCGGCTCAACAACACCTGTCCCGTGTCTCGTGTGAACAGCACCTGTCCTCCTTCAGGGCCAAAACTGCGAAGGATGACCGCCTCCAAGACACCGACTGCCTGCAGGACATGTTCCATGTGTAAGTGGCCCAATGGTGGCATCCTTTCTCCCAGGAATGAGCACAGACTGAAATTTTAAAAAGTCAGAATTTAAACGGCGACCTGCAATAAATAAATACATAATATATACAAACCCAGTATTTTTATTCTTTAAAACATGAACCCTCCTAATTAAAACACTATTTGGATTTACACACAACATACTGGCTCGCTGTAAAGCGGTATTTAAACATTAGTGTTGCATGTAGTGTAGGAAAGGTGTCAGGATAAATCTACCATGGCCTCCTGTGCTTGGCAGACACTTAAGAGCCTTTCAGAGGATATAGAGACAATTAACTACACAGGTCTCGACTGCCAAATCAGATATATGGTTGGTAGACTTGGGATGGCTGGCGGGCCATGATTTAATTAAGGGATCTAGGACTTCATGTGTTGGAAGTTGACCTGACTGCTTAGAGAAGCAATGAGAGGGCATAACTGTAGACACTGTTAGATCCTGCCTAAGTGAGAAAGCAGTAATGATGATGAAGAATGTTAACAATATCTAACCCAGAGGTGTGGCTGCTTGTCTTTTTTCATATATGTGGAAACAGGAGCCACACTGGGATAGAGTGGGTTCAAAGGAAATCGAGGTTTGACTTTGACTGATCATGTAATGACAAAAACCAAAATTAGTGTAGTTGAGGGTTTGGAGACGGCATTTCAAAGGAAATCCAAATCCAGCTTTTCTGAGGAACACAGAAATCTTGGCAATGTGATAGATCCTTACAAGAAAAGTAAGAAAATTAAATCTATGATAAATTATGTAGGTTAGAGAGTAGAGAAATATTATTTTAGTTTACAGATCTATTGGTTTCCACACTAGAAAACTGTTTACCCAAAAGCTATTGAACCATACTGTATTAAACAATATCTATAACAACAATGCTTAGTGAATATTTTTCCGTTAAACAACATTAATTATTAAAGCATGGCAATAGATATATAGTATGCAAACCATGTTTGTTTGTTTGTTTTCTCGGAGAGAAACCGTTTACTTAATGAAACAGAGATTATAGTTTAACAAATGGGCAGAAATAACAGGAAAATGCTCAGATCTTTGTCAAATAAGTAAAACAGACCCACTGCCTGCAGTGTACAGCAGGGGACTCGTTTATATGTGTCACACACGTCATTTGAACTGTACGTAACACTGAACCAGGAAAAGCTGTGCAGTAGAAAAAATAAAAATTAGTTTCAAGAGGAATTTACCTAATAAATCGAATCTGACGCACACAAATCTCTGTATCTTGTTAGAAATGTCGATATATGACTTGTATTATTATGTATTTTCAGTGGCTTTTATGTATTTTATACATTGTAATCTAAATGTTGACACTGTGGGCCATCAATATCGTCAAAATAAGCAGAAGAGTTCTTCTCCCTGATTAATCATAAACGTCTCGGCTCTTACCCCCCCGGACCTCCACTGCAGCGCAACACTTCCAGAGTGTCGAGACGAGGCAGGCATACTTTACTCTAGACACGACTTATGATGGATATCGGATTTATCCGATTATAGGAAAAATTGTTAATTTCTGGAGGACGAAAACGTCCTCGAGGCGCACTTGCTCAAAAGCCTAGCACAGTTAGCTTTACTGATTGGGGCGGACTATATTCAGTTCTGCTCTATAAAATGTAATCGTCAGAGATTATTTTTTTTAACTGCTGTTCTTCATCTGCCAAGACCATAAAAACCACGAATAAGAGTTTCTTAGCACGAATCGACAACCTTACTGTAGCTTTAACTACAGTATTCGGCAACCGGTATCATAGTTACTATGGTTACTATGCTAGCTACGTTAGCCAAAGAGCTAGACTCAAAACCATTCAAACCACCGGCGGTTTCCGCCAGCCTATTTCATTTAAAAAATCCGGGTGTGTTTCAGAATATCTTGAAATATAAGTTCTCTGATTTCTACAATTTTTTAAACGTGGCTTGATTTTTCAGGACTTTGCTCACCGTTAGTTAGAAAGGATCGCTCGCCTCTGTGCTTCTTCTTTGGTTGAGGTACCTTGGATTAGAAATCGCTGCTTCCACCTAGTGTATCCAGCCAAAAATGATGACAGCTACACGACATTTGTTGATCTCTTTCCAATGCTTTGCAGTTTAATATACATTTAGGAAATACTACCATATATTTTCATGTGAATTTGTGTTTGATGTTTCATTTAAAACCCCCAATTACAACTAGACATATTAACTTAAGAAACAGCGCCACACTAAAAAAAAATAAAAGTTGTGTTTCATTTCATTTGCTGAGAATAGAATATCAGATTAGAGTAATGTGTCCAAACCGGTGGTGACAAAACACGACAGATAAGTAAGTACAACCGGTGTTTGAGTTTAGATTTGTTTAGATATTCTACTTTCAATGTTCCAGATATTGCATCCCCAACTCCGATATTTTCACCGAATGCTCTTCTCTGTCTGTCAGTGTTTGGCAGTTTAACGACTCCGCCAATCAGCTCGTCTCACGTTCCCTTTTGCTAGTACATCTTAGTTAAAAGACCTGAGCTCTTTCCCCGCCACAAAATACAATAACGAAATAACAAGAAACAGACTTTAGTTCATATCAAAGTTATATTTATTTTATCTTATCTTAAGGCTTTCCAGGTTGTTCTCGCTCCTGTCGTTAGCTGACGTTTGTACGAGACTTTATTAGCGAAAACCAAGCAGCATTCACAGCCTGTCTCTATTTCTTCACCTTGGAGTGCTTATGGATATATTATCGCTATTAACCTAAAAAAACGTTTAAGATTCTTTGTTATTGATAAATGAGCCACGTGAGAGCTAATACTTACTTTAAACAGAATTTAATTTTTATTTTTTAACTTTAAACATAGTTTTCTTCGGACCAAGAACTGCGTGTGACGTCACACTAGCTGTCTGCTTTGATCTATCAAAGCGTTCTTCGGGGTGGGCGTGGCTTCTGACATGCGAGGCATTAAATATCCCTCCACAATTCCAGTAAAGCTCAGTTCACAAAGCATTTATGCATCAGAGCAGCGAGTGTAATTTAAGCGCATTTAATTTACAAAGAGCACACATGTCTAGCACAACTCCAACTACACATCAAATGAATCCCACTTCTCCAATTCAGAGTTTAAATAGTACAGACTTTAACATGAATACTCCACTCACTTACACCTCAGTGGAAACTTGGGAGTTACTCATCAACCACTTTTTTGGTACAATTGTACCACAGTGGCAATCTCTGGTACCGTTCAAACCAGAGTACTGTGACTTTCATCTGCTTTCCACTTTGTTAACAGACATGCTTAAGTTTTGTAAAATGTTAGAGAGATCAACTAGGGAACCCACAGAGAATGGAGATCCAACCTCCATGCAGACCTCTGAGGTCTGTCTTCAGTCCATGGGCGCAGACTGCCCCGAGAAAACAGAGGATACAGGAGCAAAGGACAGCATCCTGAATGAAAGCTCTGTAGATGACCTCGGTGATAATGAAAACTTAGAAACTCCAGGATTGGAGGCTGAAGCAGCACTAGACTGCATATCTGTGGGTAATTCAAACACACAACTCGAAACAACAGACACAGCAAAGCCAAAAAAGAGCTGTATGAAGAAAAACTTCACAGCTGATACAAAAGACTTTGACAAAACAAAATCTTG